ATTATACTTAATCTGTACACTGAGCAAATAATCTGAGAAGCTGGACTATACGAAAAGGAATGCAGCATCAGGATTGGAGGAAGACTCGTTAACAACGTGCACTATGCAGATGGCACAACCTTGATTGCTGAAAGCAAAGAGGACTTACTGATAAAGATCAAAGACTATAGCATTTAGTATGGATTACATCTCAACAAAAATCCTCACATGACCAATAAGCAACATCATGACAAACAGAAAAAAACTGAAGTTGTCAGGGATTTCATTTTATAAACATCCACAATGAACTCCCATGGAAGCAGCAGTCAAGAAATCAAATTAAATATTGCATCAGGCAAATCTGCTGCAAAATACTTCTTTAAAGATGTCATCTTGAGGACTATGATAGTTATGGTTGTGTATCAACTCAGTGGTTTGGCAGTTATGACATAGTCATCTTCCATGATGAGGCATAGTATAGTATAATTATCTCTATAATGAGATCTTCTATGAGCAGCCAGTCAGTTGAAAGGGACTTTCCTCGGGGGTGTGGCCTGCTTCCAATATATATGGACACTTTGGCAAAGCTCTCTGGGTTTTTGCTCAATTTAGATCCTTCATCTTGCTCCTCAGCATCTGGCTCATCATCACCTGACTTCCAGTTCTTTGGACTTGAACCAGAGGCCTGCCATATTGCCTGATGATCTTGGGATTGTTACTTTCACAGTCTGTGAGCCAGGAGCTTGTCATCTTACTTGTCAACCTTGGATTCATCAGCCCCTGAAGCTCCATGAGTCAGGACAAGCTTCCATCCTGATATCTGACCCATGGATGTGGCACTTGCCAACCTATCTCTACAACCACATGAGCAGTTGTGATAAATCTCTCTCTCTACTTTTATATAATAGAGAGAGAGAGAGAGAATGAGCAAGCAAGCACTAGTGGCACAGTGCCTAAGGCATCTGACTGCTAATCAGAACATTGGCCATTCAAATCCACCAGCCACTCCGCAGAAGGAAGATGGAGGAATCTACTTCCATAAAGATTTAGTGCCTTGGAAACCCAATGGTAGTTTCTATGAGTCAGACTCAACTTACTGACAGTGGGTTTTTGGTGTGTGTATATATAGAGAGATAATTATACTACACACACACACACACACACACATATTACTTCCCATATTGGACAAAATATTCATTGAGCCTCAAGTAAATAGACAGTAGTGTTCCCACTCTAGGGAAACAATAAAGTCAGATCTTGCCCTCAAGGAGCTCTGGGTCTAGGGACTGTCCACAATTACATAAATGAATAATTAATGTGCAATGTGCAATGTGATAATGTGGTAATTACAGGTTCTGTGGCAAGAAAGGTGAACTCCAGAAATCAGACTTCCCTGAGTTCAAATCTTAATTCATCCAAAAATTATCTGTGTGATCTTCAGCTAGTTGCATAGTCTCTCTGTGTCTCAGTTTCCTTACATGAAAAATGGGTACAATAATATCTACATCACAAGGTTGTATTGATAATTCAATGAGATAGAGTATCATAAGATAGTTAGCACATGGTTTACTAAATTACTTGTTATTCTTATGAGATGTATGATCAGCAGAGTATATGGGCACACAGAGGAAGAAGTAACTAATTCAGCCTGGCACACTGAGAAAGATATTACCTGGCTCTCCTAAGTTAGACTAGACAATCTCCCCAGCAGGTTATCACCGTGATACTTACCCAGACAATATAGAAAGTCTTCATGAGCATCAAAAACCTCGTATGTTTTAATCTGAAACTGTTCCTTCCAAGCATTATCTTCTACAATAATTATCAGCCAGTAATTTTAACAGCCAATATATAATCAATATATATCATATGAATAAACTCAATTAACAGTTTATTTATTTGCATTAAGTAGTTGTTCTTCATCCTCAGGTTCTCACAGTTTTTAAACTTGCATTATTCTAACTCATGCACAAGTCTCCAGCTGAATGTGCCTGTTACTATGGAAACAAGGTCACTGTGTAGGAGGAGTTTGAAGGGAGTATATTCCTGGCACAGAACAAGTGAGTGGACAGGAAGAAACAAAATTAGACACATTCATACCTAGAGCACCATCCTCCAGCCATGACAGTATGACAAAGACAGAATTTGCCTGTAATCAGTGTTCTATAGGCAAGTTTACACAACATAGACAGAGGGATAAAGTCAACTACCCACAAAGAACTGTTTTCCCCTTGGTTCCAGAAGCAACACCCTGGATAACAGTTAATCTTGTTTATTTATAAGAAAAATTCCCTCTCATTTTATAATATGGACATTTTTCCTGCCCACTTCCCTTAACAACTTCCTTAACAAGTGCAGTTAGTGAAAAGTACATCAAAAGTCCTGCCCTTGAACTTCATTATAAACACTTATCTATGAGGGAGACTGGAGTATAAATTCATGTGTCTCTTATGTGATCTAAATCAGTGGTTTTCAAGCACTGATGTGCAACAGAATCACCTGGAGTGCTTGTTAAACCACAGAGTGCTGAGCCCCACCCTCACAGTTTTTTACTCAGTGGCTCTGGAGTACACAGCCCTGGTGGTACTGTGGTTAAGCACTCACATGCTAACTGAAAGGTGAGGGGTTCAAACCTACGAGTTGCTCCATGGGAGAAAAGTGTGGCAGTCTGCTTCCATAAAGAATTACAGTCTTGGCAGAAAATGCTTCTACAAGTGTATTTGTATGTTCCGTAAGAATTCCCAGGTATATAGTAGAGCTGATAAGGGACAAGGTTATAGCCACTTCTTAGCCACAGCCTGCTACCCAGAGAGAGTGAATAGCTGGACCTGTGGGGTTGGAACCATGGTTGCAGGGGACATCAAGCTTAATTGGCATAACACACTACACAAAAACACTGTTCCACATCCTACTTTGGCGAGTAGGGACTGGGATCTTAAAAGCGTTCAAGCATCCATCTAAATGCAACAATGGGTCTCTCCTTGTCCAGAGCAAAGAAGAATGAAGAAAACCAAAGATGTATGGAAACAATTAGTCCAAGGGGCTAGTACACCATGTGATCCTCAGCCTATATGACTATGAGACCAGAAGAACTAGATAGTGCCCGGCTACCACTGTCAACCACTCAGAATGGGACGTATGTAGGAGATCCTGGATAGAGTGGGAGAACAATGTGGACAAAACTCAAAATCATAAAAAAAAAAAGGACCAGGATTGCTGGTCTGATACAACCTGGTGGAACTCCTGAGACTTTGGCTCCTAGCTGTCCTTCAAGTCTGGAACTGAACCCACTCCTGTGGCTTCCAGCCAAATAAAAGATAAGCATATAAGCTGAATATTCACATTAGGTAGATACACTCCTTGGAGAGATCAATCATGGGAGATTAGAAAGCCTGCATATGCACAGGGAGAAACTCGGGGCACAGGACTACATGGGAGGGAATGACACAGGGAAGAGGTAACTATGGGGAGAAAGTGGGAAGAGAACTGCTACATTGTGGAAAATTGCAGTCAATGTCATGAGACAAAGTATATGTGAACTGCTGTATGGAAAATGAATTTTCTCTGTAAACTTTCACCCAAATCGCAGTAAAAATTTAAAAAAGAAAAAATTAATTACAGCCTTGGAAATCCTATGGGGCAGATCTACTCTGCCTTATCGGGTCACTATGAGCAGCAATCAACTCAAGGGCAGTGGGTTTGGGGGTGATGTACAACAATTAGCATTTCTAACAAGCTCCCAGGTGATGCTCTGGTCCAAGGATCCCACCGTGAGTAGCATTCATTCTAAAATTTTAAAATAAACTCTAAAATCCTTAACAATGAAGAATTATTTGTTGAAAGACAAAGGACATCATGTCATAGCAAAGAAAGCCTTTTAGACATTCTATACAACAAATGATGAACAATAACATCTGTTCATCATTTTTACAGATATGCAAGAATTATTGTTCTACTTCAAAATGTTCAACAACAGCATATGACTCCATTAAATTTTATCAAATTCACGATGCCATCTTTTTCTTCTCCTAGTCTTATGACATTTCCCTTTTATCATTTTTCTCCCCAGATTCTCCTCACACAGGACTTCAACTTTCAGCCTACATCCCATTCAAACATCTGCAACACTACTCCATTACTTCTCTTTCCACTTCTTTTTCCATGGCCTGCTCTCTCTGCAGAAGCAGAAAGTAGCCAGCAACAGTGCCCACGTTCTAGCTGCCTAATTAGGGGATAGATTTTCCTCATATATATTAAAATACTTTTGAGAATCCATCTTTTGAAATTATATTCAGCCATAAGAGCCATCCATGGTTACTGAACTCAACCAAACCTCTCTAAACACCAGCACTAATTGCCAAATAACATTTTGGAAAATGGTTATAAAGCACTGAAACGTCTACAACAGGAGCTGGCAAACTAAAGTCTTCAGGCCAAATCCAGCCCATCACCTGTTTTTGTATGGCCTGTGAACTAAGAAAGGTTTTCACATTTTTCAACAATTGAAAAAAAAAGAGAATATTTTGTGATATATAAAAATCACATGAAATTCAAATGTCAGTGTCCATAAATAGAGTTTTATTGGACCATAGTCACGCATTTGTTTACGTACTATCTCTGGCTTCTTTCTCGCTATAACGGCAGAGTTGAGTAGTTGTGACAGAGACCGTATGGCCTGCAAAGACTGAAATATTTACTATCTGGTCCTTTAAGAAAAAGTGTGCTAAGCCCTGCCATTTCCTTGAGACCATCTTGAGGGATACATATGGGGAAAGGCAACCTAGAGTAAGTATAATAAGGCTTTAGGGGTCTGCAGATGACACTTACTCAAATAAACACTCATGCATAACCTGTTGATGCTTGCATGTTAATCATCTTTGTAAAAAAGCTCTAACAATGTTTCCCTGGATTGGAAATTAGGTGAGTTGAGTGATAGATACCTACTGTGTCAAGAGGACTATATTATAAACCTAAACCCATTTGGGAAAGACTGGACTACAATCCTGGTTCCCTTCAATCACCTGTCTTTTTCTGCGAACTTCCTGAAGTTCTTCCGATAAGGTGTGGGCTTGAGACTTAGGCAGGAGCGGAGAGAATCTTCCTCAGAACCAAAGCCAGTATAAGGTGGAAATTTCCTTTCTATTTTTGGAGGAGGTGGAGGCTTACATGGAATCGAGGTAAAGTTCTCTGTAACAAAACAAAGGCAAACTAAACATCAATATATTTTTTTCCCTGATTATAGCTGTTTTGAAAATTCTGTTGTTTTCAAGATGAACATGGATATCTTTGTAGACTATTTTAAACTCAGTCAAACAAAATATAGCAAAATCCTGTGAGAGTAGGTTCAATCATGTTTATTAAAAAAACACAGAATTCACTCAATAATCACCACTGGCTCAAAAGGGGGAAAAAAAAGTAACTGTCTATGTCAAATAAGTAAACATTTATCTTTTGTCATCACATCCTCATTTCTGAATATTTTTGTTCTTCTCTGATTTTTACAAATTATATGAAAATTCAAACTTGAAACTTTATGCCATCCATTCTACATTTTAACTTGTAATTTAGTACTCTTCTCTCTTCAGTGAACACTCACTAAAAAAAATTCCTTTCCAAATAGGACTGATTCCTGACCATTTCACCTTTACCTTTCCCTATGGACTCTGTCTTCTCCCCCTGTGCATGCTACCACCCACCTCCTTTCTTCCAATGTAACACTAGGCTGTGTCATTTCACTATCTTTTTTTTTTTTTAAAAAAAAAAAAAAAAGATCTTTCTTCTCACCAACCACTGCTCCGGGTTGCTCTTGTTACTGCCAAAGAAAAGGCTAAAAAGTGATCTAAAAAAAATGTCTAAAATAGCCAGCTGCCTACTTTCTCAAAGGGATAGTAGGCTAAGTAGTAATAAGAGCAAATACTATTGATTTTACTTATTTCCTTATCATTTATTGACTCATCATCCCTTACAGGAAGGAGGGATGAAGAGAGAACTGGTACCATATCTGTAATGGCCTAGAAGCTTTTAAGTGCTCGTTTGTGGGGATGTACATCTCTGAGATCCAAGGGTGCTTGCCAGAGCAAATAGCATGTTGACCTGACCTACCCAATTCACTGTTTGTCCCACCACAAATGGCAAAGAAGATGCCCAGATTTTTCCTAAAAACCAAACCAAACAAAAAACACAGAATCCATTTTCTACTTCTTCCCAGGCTTCAGTATACCATAGGTGTTTCCATTCATGAATGAAAGGAATGCCACCGTAAGCAAGTATTTCCTTTTCCACTGTCAATGTTTTATAAGAGAAAACATGCATCAATTTGTCATCCAAGACAAGGTAAGTGTTTAAAAATAGAGTTTTCTTTGCTGATTGATCAAATGGTTAAGTGTTTGAAGCCATTTCTAACTCTGATTTGAAAACATTTTCAGCTTTCACATCTCCCTAGGCATTCTAGTAACCTACGTGTAATTCCCAAAAGAGTACTGTTCTATCCTAACAGAAACTGCTCACAGGAGACACGCTGGCAAAGAGACTACCACCAAGCATTTCTCCTGGCTTAAGAAAGGGGCTAATCAGTCGCAGGTACAGAAAGAACCCGAATGGGGAGCCTCTTCTAGGGCTATTTTTATGGGAATTAAAAACAAGTCTTGGTAATGAAGAGGAAGACAAATCTTAAGAATCAGGTAGAATTGCAATAGACTCTGTATCATTGGGAACCATTACATCAAACACAACACTGATTGGTATCTAGATTTAATAGGAGTGGCAGGGGGATTCTATGAGATTATTAGAAAGTTGAGGCATGATCAATTTTTTACAACAGGAGACATATACCTACAACTACACACACTAATATGGAGCAGTCCAACCAAAAGAGAGTACATTCTGAGCTGTAAAGTAATTAAGAATGCATTATACACCTCCAAAAAAATTACAGGTTTTATAACAGTTGTTTTCTCAACTACATAATTTTTGCAACAGTGGTTAAGTAACAAAAGAACCAGTATAGAGCTTTCCTCTGCACCTACAGTGCCATCTAGTGTACAAAAGCCGAGTACTGTTCCACTCCATCACACCTGACTTTTACAACACCACATACATCTTTTTGGATACCCTGGTTCAGGATCAAACTCTAAATCTCATTTCTTTGAATAATATGCATGCATTTACAAAGCTTTCTACATACTCCTGCATTATAAGTTTCCTCTCTTTGGTTCTCCATCATCTCTGCATTCCACATATTTCTTATGTTCAAAAACATTTGCTTCAGAAATGAAAAACTAAGCATTTTTGTACAAAGCATCTTCCCAAATGTCTTTTTAAATTGGCATTTTGGTAGCTCCTGAGACACATTTGTCTTTCAAATGGATTGATTCCTCTAATTCCAAGTGATTGGTAAAATTATATATATTGAATGTTTATCCACAATTAACTAGATTTAGATGCCAAGTTTTTAGAGAGATGATATATTTTAAAAAGGAGTCATAATGCTCCTTCATGGTCATTTACAGTTTGTCATCTCAGTTGTAAGCACCACTGGGATAAGGTTTCATTTACATCAAAGTCCATCTCTTATGTTCTAGTAAACCAGAGTTGGACCCAGGTTTTGTGAAGCCTAAAGCTTATGTAATTTGGGGGAATCTCTTTAAGAGCAAAATATCAAATTATTAAAACAAAAATAGGCACAAGGCCTTGGACTGTGGCCCCTTCAAAGGGATAGCACTGAAGCTTAACCTTCATTAACTTTAAGGTAAATCTACCTCCGCTTGCACCCAAATCCACTGCCACTGAGTTGATTCCAACCCATAGTGACCCTTTTAGGACAGGGTAGAACTGCCCCATAGGGTTTCCAAGGCTGTAAATCATTACAAAAGCAGACCACCACATCTTTCTCCCACGGAGCACCTGGTGGGTATGAACTGCTGACTTTTTGGATAGCAGCAGAGCACTCTAACCACTGTGAAACCAGGGCTCCTGGAGTTTAATTCCAAAAACCAAAACAAACCCACTGCCATCAAGTTGATTGTGACTCATAGTGACCATTGAAGACAGGGTAGAAGCCCCATAAGGTTTCCAAGGCAGTAAATTTTTACAGAAGCATACTGCCTCAACTTTCTCCCAGAGTGACTGGTGGGTTTGAACCACTGACCTTTTAGTTAGCAGCCAAACACTTTAACCATCACACCAGCAGAGCTCCTTGCTTGTATCCAAGACACAAGTAAAGTGATTTTGGCAGGGCATGTCATTCTGGGGTCAAATAATTCGCCAATCACATAATGTTAGAGCTAGATTGCCCAGTCTTCATTCTGAGGAGTGGCTGGTGGGTTTGAACCACCAGGCTTCTGGTTAGCAGTCAAATGCCTTAGGCGCTACGCCACCAGAGCTCCCAGAAAATCTTTAGGAATCATCTATTCCTCAACCCCCTTCATTTCATCAGTAAGGAAAAGGAAAGGCAAAATTGTTAGGTCCATCAAGGTCATGAGTTGAGACCAGAACCCATTTCTATCCATTTACTGCAACTTAAAGTAAACCATTTGCTCAAATGATCATTAAGCATTCATCTTGGATGCCCTGCTGCCTCTAGCACCAAGAATTCAGAGATGGTTCCACAAAGTCAAAGGTGCTTTAAGGATTTTGCTCAATCTTAATCTCAGAGCAGCCTAATAAGTATTCAAAAGCAAGAGGAATACATGGTTTTCTTACATGTTTGGTTGTCCCAGCCATGAAGAAAAGAAAGTCTTCTTTTGTTGTTGTTCAGTGCTGCTGAGTTGTTCCTGACTCATAGCAACCCTGTGTACAACAGAACAAAACATTGCCAGTCCTGTGCCATCCTCACAATCCTTGCTATGCTTGAGCCCATCACTGCAGCCACAGTGTCAATCCACCTTGTTCAGGGTCTTCCCTCTTTTCACTGACTTTCTACCTTACCAAGCATGATATCCTTTCTCCAGGGACTAGTCCCTTCTGACAACCTGACCAAAGTAGGTGAGATGAAGTCTGACAATTCTCGCTTCTAAGGAGCATTCTGGCTGCACTTACTTCTTCCAAGGTAGATTTGTTCATTCTTTTGGCAGTCCATGGTATTTCCAGTTGTCTTCACTAACACTTCAAAGGCATCTATTCTTCTTCAATCTTCCTTATTCATGGTCCAGCTTTCACATACATACAAGATGACTGAAAATACCATCGTTTGGGTTAGGCTCATAGTGATATCATTGCTTCTTAACACTTTAAAGAGGTATTTTGCAACAGATTTGTCCAGTGCAATATGACATCTGATTTTTTGACTGCTGCTGTCATCGGTGCTGATCATGGATCCAAGTAAAATGAAATCCCTGAAAAATTCAATCTTCTCTCCATCTATTGTGATGTTGCTTATTGGTCCAGTTGTGAGGATTTTTGTTTTCTTTATGTTGAGATGTTATCCATATCGAAGATTATAGTCTTTGATCTCCATCAGTAAATACTTCAAGTCATCTTCACTTTCAGCAAGCAAGGCTGTTATCATCTGTGTATGGCAGGTTATTAATGAGTCTTCCTCCAATTCTGATGCCATGCTCTTCTTCATTATAGTCCAGTTTCTTGGATTATTTGCTCAGCATACAGATTGAATAAGCATCGTGAAAGGATACAACCTGATGCACACCCTTCCTGATTTTAAACTATGCATGTTCAAATGACAGCCTCTTGGTCTATGTACAGGTTCCTCATGATCACAGTTAAGTGTTCTGGAATCCCCATTCTTTGCAATGTTACCCATAATTTGTTATGATCTACATAGTCAAATGCCTTTGCATGTCAATAAAATCCCTCTTAAGGAAATAACAAACTAAGGCAGGAATTCCTGTGTAAAAAGAGCTTACATTCAAATCCCTGACCCTTCATGAAACAAACACCTGCTAGAGGCCTTGGAGGCTTTTCCAAACTTTATGCCACAGGAAAGACTGAGAGGTCTCCATCTGCCAGCCCATGTTCATCCACATAAAACAGTGAGAGAGCAACATGTGATAGCCCGCAAGGGTGCCAGGGAGTGGGATGGCAAAGCTGTCCAATGGGTAAGCCACACTGGCCTGTTCTATGGAGGAAGTTCAGGAATTCACTTTAGGATCCCTGAATGCACAAAAGAATCCCCCCTTTTGGGGAGTCCAATTAGGTTTTACCTAGGGGCTCAAAGTTCTCTCAGAATTCTA